CTCAAAAACGTCACAATTTACAAGTTGCATGCAAACCGCTTGCGACTCGAAACCATGTCTCGACCGGTAATACCGCGCACATGCATTCGGTCGAACTCAACATCCAAACGACCCTTGTCGGTCCCCTGGAGTGGGCCGAGAGGTGTCACCAATTTGTTGTATTTGGTTGTTCATAATACATAGTTCAATTTTCACTTTGTGCGTGAGAAATGTCTGGTTCAACCCTATGGGACAAGCGAGACAGGCAAAAAGCGGCAAAGTGAAAGTTGCGTCACAAACACATAATCGGGACGGAAAGTAACTTGCGTCGCAAAGATGGACAACTCGTAATCGTAATCCGGCACCCCGCGATGTGAATATTGCACAATATACCGGTTTGCACACTGCTTCCCGTACTACTATTGGCTTTCAAACATTTAAGGCAAACGGCGTGGCTAGACTCATTTCATGGCCCCCCCCTTCCCGCCTTGTTTTTTTATTGGTGTGCTCTCTCTGCTGCAACGTGGATTTAGATTCATTCCTTTTTAGGGGATCTTTGTGAATCTTGGAAACGTGAGTTTATTTTATTTTGTTTTTTTTTTTTTTTAAAAAAAAAAAAAAAAAAATTGAAACGCTATGGGCTTTCATTTAGTTCGGCCGTCGTAATATGCGTAGATATATGTCGTAAAGTGGCGGATCAATTCCCTAATTCCATATAAAAAGTTGCAATTAACATGGTTAATGTTAATGGCTAAGTCTATGATCAGCTTTTCTTAGTTACTTGTCTGCTACCTCTTTGGTAATTAATCGTTCATATTTCTTTTTTGTCGGGACACTTGCAAACCATATCTCTTCCTTCTGCTTATCAAGTATTTAAATATCTCGAAAATTTTATTTATTCAAAAATGAAACGTGTTATCTAATTAATTCTCTCAACTCTTCTCCTCCAAAACATTTTTTAAATTTATTTCTATCCGGTTATTTGATAAAAGATAACTAGGAATAAAAATTTTATGTTGTAGTATAGCTAAACCATGTATCTGTGAGTTTATGAGGCTGTTGGATGATGTCGTTAGAGACTACACTGACTAATAACCAATTTTATCCGAGTCCAGCTCACGCCTGATTTTTGTTTGTTTGTTTTGGCCACAAAATCGGTTCTCAAATCACAAATCATGTAAAGAACGTATCCGAGAAAACAGGAGATGTGAATGGTATGTGATTTCAATGGATCACAAAGTATGGAATGTGGCGTTGATCTATACAAATTTTGCCACAGGTCGACGCACATATCCAAACTATCAAGGCACAATATGAATCAAAAGAGCACTCCGCAAACCATACCGACACAACGCACTATCCTCCGTACCCACCACCGCACAAAGCTATCTCGATAAAGATAAACAAAGAAAAATGGATGTTTATATTGATTCAACTCTACGACACGGATACCAGGCCAAACGCGGGGGTAAGGATAGCGTAGGACAAAGAAAACAGACAGGGGTAAGATATACGCGGGTGCAGAGGTGAAACAAAACAAGTTAGATGAGATTGGGAGGTTAAGCCTGAGAAGGCTAAAATAGGGTAATGAAGAAGACGATACAAAACAAATTGGGAGGGGTAGGGGTGTAGACAAAACAAAAAGAAAACAAAAGGTAAGGTTCTTTTGAGAGAAGAGGAGCCGAAGGGGAAGAAGAAAAACAAACATGCGGGAACAGTCACGAAGGATAGGGAAACGATAAGACGCGGGGGCGGGAGGGAGAACACCAACTGAAGGGTGGAATGAACTTTCCGGGACGGCCGCCCCCGGACGAAAAAAAAGAACGAGATATTTGGATACACATTCGTTTAAACATGACCGACAGGCTATCTTTTCATTCTTCCACCAAACGGATAAGGCTACAAGGAGAAACGAACAACTGTCACACGGGGCACCGACAAAAACTCTGCGTGCATCGTTCACCACATACCACACCCACGGGCCCACACAGCTGCAGACACCACTCACGCAACGATCGAAAATACTCCTTCCACACCGCCACTCCTCGCCCTCAATGCCTTCCGCCCTCGCGCTACACCGGCCATCCCTTTCGTCCCCCACGGCGCCACAAACAGGCTTAACACCGGCTGGCGCTTACAACAACAGACACTTCTTGCTCTTCTTCTTCACCGGCGGCTCGAGGGCGGCGACGATCGCCTCATCAAACACATTCTTGAGCCCCTTCTGCGTCAGTGCCGAGCACTCGACGTATTTGACAGCTCCCAGCTCACGTGCGAGCCTCTCCCCGGCGTCGAAGCTGATCGGCCGCTGCTTCTGGCGATTCAGCTTCTCGACCACCGACGGGTCGTCGCGTAGATCCACCTGCGTGCCAACGATCAGGCAGGGAACACCCGGGCAGTGGTGGTGCACCTCGGGGAACCACTTCTCCTTCACGTTCTCGAAGGATGCGGGAGAAGTCACGCTGAAGCAGACGAGGAACACGTCCGTCTGAGGGTACGAGAGCGGGCGGAGTCGGTCGTAATCTTCCTGGCCTAGAGGGTGGATGGATTTTGGTGTCGAGCACGAGTGAGCGCGCGCGTTGCAATGCTCTCGTTGCCTAGTTTGTCGATCAAAAGGAGTACATCCCGATCGACACGATTTTTATATAGCACGCATCGCTACAACATGCCTTCTGCCACCATATACTATACGATAAATAATGATAATAATGATAAAAAGCATACCAGCGGTATCGAACAAGCCCAAGGTGTATGGTTCCTCGCCAATCATGACGGTCACAGCGTAGTTATCAAAGACCTAGGGGGCGTCCAATCAGGAAATAATTCATGACAAAGAAGGTAAGAATGATGCACATCAGGCCTCGTGCCGAGAATCCGAATCTGTCCTCCGTGGCGTTCTCGGAACGCCCCACATCCTCACTCGGGGATTCCGACAATGATCGGATTCATAAGTCGTGTGTATGGAATAGAGCTCGTGTCAAAGTTGATGATGACGCTGATGCCGAGATGTCGCGAGGTGTTGAGGACGTCCTAATCCCACCGGACCGCACCGCACCGCCCTCCCCACCCCACCCCACCCCACCCCACCCCCTCCCCAATTCGCATCCCTGTTAAGACCGGTATCCTTTGAGTAGATCCTTCACCTAGAAATCCCTCGGCATAGTATGGAGAATGTACGCGTGATACAATTTACAAATCCAGACCTGTCGCGCGCGCGCGGCGCCGCTGCAAAGATCTGCTATGCTTTCCCGTCTCCCCTAATGAGAGTCGTGAAATAAGAATGTACTTACAGTGGGGACGTACTCTGAGGGGAATTTGTTCGTGGTGTACGAGATGAGCAGGCAAGTCTGTGCAAGAAAAGGCGAGTGAAAAATTTGTAAGTTTGAGACAGGTTAAAAAGGTCTAAGTGATTTGCCGCGGTTTATAGGGTTCGTCATTTCGAAGGGTAATGGGGGGTAGAAATTTCTCTATGCGCCGTCGGCGTCCTAGATCGAGTTGTTTGCGACGTCGTGAAAGAGAGGCGTTTTTGACGAGGGTGGGTGGTCCGGTCGCATTGTTCGGAACCGGGTTCCGGCTGGTATGTATCGAAATGGTGTTTACGTCGGAGTGCAACTATGGAATTTTTTTTTTTTTTTTTTTTTCTTTTGCCTCGCCCAACTTGCGCAAAAGAGATGTCGCCAAACGCCTCAACCACTCTTCGCGCACTCATCTCATCTCTTTCTGAGCTACATACCTTACCGACAGCACCGTCACCAACAACGACACACTTTATTGTCTGCATGCTTTACGAATGGGGGGAAGGAAGGGGAAGAGGGATTGTATGTGAAGTGGCTACGGGCTGTGCCTTATTGTGGCTGTTTGTTGTGCAGAAGCTTATATTAAAGCGGCGATTGATGTGTGAGGCGTGGAGCTGGGGCCTTGCGACCAAGAGCGTCTATCGCACGTGCGAGTGGGTGATGAGGGGAGGGTGGGAGGATGAAGACAGGACGGAGATGACCTGTTCGGAAGGGAAGGAGAAGGGAGGAGGAGAGGGAAGGAGGTGAGGTGGGAGTGTGTGTGGGTGGGGGAGGGGGAGGAGAGTATATTTATTGCGGGAAAGGCGGAGGGAAGGGAGGAAAGGAGAAGGGGAAAAAAGTGAGTCACGAGAGGTCGGGGTAGGGAGGTTTCAGGTGGTCGTACGGACTGTTTGTGGTTACAAACGAGATAAGACGATGTGCAGAGACTGACAGCGATGGCTGGCTGTTGTCTGCCCTCTTTGTCTACGCAGCTCGGCCACAAAAAGCAAGTCATATGACACACACCCACTGTGGTTGCTATGTAGGGCAGGGAGCGAAGGGGCCGGGCGTAGGCCGGTTTGCTACACAGGATAAGAAGATTTAAGATCTGGGTCGCAGGTGGGAAGGAGGGCGGAGGGCAAGAGAAAGCCGTTGCAGGATTATTGGGAGCGTGTGCGACGTCCTGGGCCCAAGTTGATAGGCACGGTTCGACTGCACGAACCTCGTGTGCTATCTGCATCTGACTAGGACTCAGAAATTTATTCCGTGCCACCCACAGGCCCACTTGGAGACGTTGCCCCCATTTCCCAATGACGTAACAGCCCTTGCTCCTTTCTTTCCTTTCTTCTGTCCACACCACTAGCCTCTCTCCCGCGCGGTCTCACCATCCGTAGATCCCTGCATCCCAACACCCTTACATAATGCATCCGCCCACTCCTGGGCCGTGCCCGGATCCATCTCATCGTCACATTCATATCGTAACGTTACGCCCCTCAGGGATTGATCTACGTCGACCACATGTCGCCACACGCCGATCACAGACAAACCATTTTGCTCGCACCACGCGATTGTGCCCCCAGTGACGGAGAAAACCACCTAAAGATGGCCGGATTGTATGCAAAAAGAGCCTGGCCTGGTGTTTTCTGGAATGTGTGTGGCATTTGATAAATTGTCCAGCTTCTTGGCATTTGTTCCTAAACAAAAAGAATATCAATATATTATTCCGACCTCCCATTAAGTACTAGTGCCCTCATAGCCTAATGGATATGGCGTTGCCCTCCTAAGGCAGAGGTTCTAGGTTCGAGTCCTAGTGGGGGCGGATTCATTTTGGTCCTTTTACTCGAAATATAAAGGAAGTGTTCCAGTCATATAGTTGCAAGAGTAATGTAGTATGTTTGGTTTTTTGAGTCAAAAAATAATTACAACAAATGAATTTAAATATTATAGATATTTACTATTTTCTATTTTTTTTATAAAAATATTAAATATATATTTTAATATAAATAATTATCATTAATATTAGTGCTTTAAAATATATAGTTTAGATTAAAATACTAGAAATTTATTATATTAATAAATATTTATATTTATTTATATTTTAACTCTAGTTTGAAATAGTTAAATATTTAAATTTTAATCATCTAAACCTATAAAGCAAAAAATATATATAATTATATTATATTTTGTTTATATTATCTATTATTATTGTTAGACTTCAGGTTCAATAGCAACTAGTTTGTTGACTGATGGCTGAGTGGAGATTGGTCTTGTCACATTGCTCAGCTTGTTGGGAAACAAGCAGAATGAAGAACGGAGATGTCTTTATTTTTTCATCTCTCGAAAGAAGCTCTAATTTGTACGTAACCCCTAACCCTGCATTTCTATACAACCTATACGGAAATATGTAACCGAGGACGAAAGCCACCCATCATGTCGAACTCTTACAAAGGTACGCCGCACTCTTGAAGCCCTACTCCCTTTTGCGTAATGCGGACCAATACGACGTCTGGGTCCGCAAGTGCATGCACCCAGACCCAAGAATGAGCTACGAAAGCACAACCTAGACGCGTCTCCAGAGGTTTGTAGAAAAGCTCGCCTACTCCCTCATCTACAATCCCTTTGAATGATTAAGGTGGCTTTGCAACCGTCTATAAGGGAACTGTCTGGCCGCTCGACCCTCAGGGTTGGCGTGTTGACCTCAATGATGGATACTCGACGACGCAGTACTGGCGTCGGAATCTTTTGCGCTCGAAACAGATGTAATCTTCAATGCTACCCGACGTAGGTTCTAGTGCTCTCACTGGTCGTTGGCCATTGTTCCTTTCTTTCCGTTCCTCACTCCTGATCCCTCCTTTTCGCTCCAGTTTGTCCTACAGCATAGCTCGCACGCCCCCACAACAGCCAAGATGGTGGGTCTCTCGAAAAATCTACTTGGCCAATACTTTATGGTCATGGAACACGTCACCCAAGGCAAACTCGAGACGAATCCCAATCCCTCAAAGACTGGGACAGCATTTTTGGCATCGCCCAAGCTCTTGCCTATCGCGTCTACGTTATCCACGCCAGCGACTTCACCTACAACGACCTCCACCCCGTCGTCTTTGACTCCGTCTTCAAAATCTCCGGCCCAATGATTATTGACCTCGGCCTCAGCCGATCCATTCAAAAGGCTCACGCTGGTGACGGCGTCTACAGAAGACTCCAATACCTACCTCCAGAAGTCTTCGGACGGCCAATCATATATAATGCACTCGAACGTATACTGTTTTGGAACTCTCACATAGCAGTTCGTCGCGAAGACGTCATCTCGCGGAACAGCCACCGCTGCAATCCGAGGGCGAACGGACGGGTTGTGCGAGGACACCATACCGGACGCACTAGAAGGATTCATGGAACTCCTGGCAGCGTGTTGGAATCCATGCTCGGCCGAAAGGCCTTCGGCACTCGCCGTGCGCAATCGCCTACCGGCCCGGGATCTGTTCGAGTCGCCGCTACGCGTACGTAATGTCGCTGGCTACGATGAAATTTATTGGGACGTGCAGGGCCGCGCATCGGATGGAGATGCAGGTAATGATCGATAGTTTTATCTTGATTGGCTGCAGCCCGTCCGAGGCTGTGGAGTTGGGCACGAGTAGGTTCTACTCCGTCGAGCAGCTGCATCAGATTGAGCTGGAGCTGGACTCTTTTTGGACTGGTTCGGCTACGCTGGAGATCATTGCGATGCAAACGGATATGAGGGTGCATGAAGGTGAGGATATGATACTTTTGGGATTTGTTTATGGTTTTGAATTTGACCCTTTGCTAACGTTTTGAAAATATGATTATAGATTCTGATGACAACCTCTCGAGGTAGAAGCGAGACAGTTCTCTGGTTTACACGCCGGACGTCTGGAAGAGGAACCATCACATTGTAGTGGATTAGAAAATAGAGAATGATTGTCGGCTTCTTGTCAATGGTTCTGTATGGTTGATGGTTACATTGTCTTATATTTGGGGCTAGGAGCCCGATCTCTCTATAGAATTTTAGATTTAATATTATTTCTATCGTGAATGTAATAAAAAAAATAAGTTTATTGGTCCCTGAACCCGCAAACTTAGACAACCGCTATATGTGAGACAGCTGTCAAATATCGATCGATATGGTTTATCTAGGACGATCAACACGATATTTCATCTTGGGCATTCATTCACCGCAAATGCTACAGCAAGTGGATGCATTTTGAAACACAAGCCAGGAAAAGCAGCATCCAAATCACGAGCAGACCAATCAGCGAGCATCGCCAACGATTCCGGACAGCTCGATCAAACCGATCTCTCAGCTAAATAAGCTTCTGCCTTTGCGAGCGTGGAAGATGACTCATCATGACACCGAACGCGCCGCTATGCTTGCCCGCAATCGACACGGTCCCTAGAGCGTGATGGCAGCGCTTTGCCTTGCACGCGTGCGGCCCATGCTACCCGCTTTGGAGACGCTATCGAGAGCCTGGAAGGTTTGTCCTTGAAGTGAACGAGGGGTCGATGAACCGAGAGAACGCCCGATAAAGCTCCAGAAACCGGTCGCACGCAAGGATTGCGTACCGACCAGGGTACTGGGTGTGGTGGGTACTTGCCGTAGGAAACGGTAAAGAAATGAAGCCACGGTTTTTGGATAATGTCCTTCATATCCATCTGTTACATGAACGCTGCCACACGCTCCAGACTGCGTTTGTAGGGACATGGCTGGCGTAAAGGACGTCTGCAGGGCTCACCTGGATGGATGGTTCAGTCTTCCATCTCAAAGACATGACGAATTATGGCGAACGCAAACACGTCAGCAAAATTTTGTGAACAATAAATAGAAACTGCCGGTATAGATGATGTATGTACACAAAATATCTCCAAAGAATATGAAAGGAGGTGAAGTTGTGAATAAGGTTGGATGTTTCATAATCAAAGTAACCTACGTAATATGACCATCCACGGCATTCTCATCGAGTAAAACTATGTCCGCAAATGGGAAGCAAAATAATAAACAAAAAAAACAGCCGGATGATTGGCAAAGCATCATCATCGTACAAAATTCTGCGCATCGATCCTTCGCATCCCCTCCGTCCCTTCAAATCAGACTCTTCCAATTCACAGGTGTTTTCCCCTTCTCCTCCAGGTACGCGTTCGCCTGCGACCAATGCTTGCAGTCCATGAACCCCTTGTGCGCCGAGAGCGGGGACGGGTGCACAGCTTTGAGAATCAGGTGATTCTAATGGAGCAGAGGCGGAGGAAGCAGTATGATGTTTTAGTATATGATGAAGTAACAGCCTTGCCTTGGCTCAATTGGCGTACGAGAGTGACACACCCAAGCACACCCGTGATCCCACCTTCTTGTTGATCTTGGCGCCCTTCTTCTGCGCATGGCTTCCCCAGAGCATAAAGACGAGGCCGGATTTTTTCTCATTCAGATAGTTGATAATTGCATCTGAAATATAAACAAATCTGGAAGTATTAGCAATTGCGTGGAAGAAAAAGAATCATGAAAACAACAGGTAAACGTATGTGGAACAAGGCATACCGGTAAACTTCTCCCATCCCTTCCCCGCGTGGCTTGCGGCCTCGTGAGCACGCACTGTCAGCGACGTGTTGAGCATCAAGACACCTTCTTTAGCCCAAGCTTCAAGGTAACTGAAGAGAAATATGATTATGGTCCAAAGAAGAAATGTTACCATCCCGCGCTTCTCACGATTTAACATGTAAGAATTTCGAATTGCGTAAATAGTCCCCATAATCCTCTGAATCAATCCCATCCTGTGCACTCCCCGTTCTCTACCCCCAAACCCCGCTCATCAACCTACCCGTGCCCTGGCTCTGTGAACATCGGGATATCGTTCTTCATTGCCTTATAAATATTGACAAGTGACGGCGGCGACCGAACACCCTTGGGGACAGAGAAGCATAGCCCGTGCGCTTGGCCGCGGTCGTGATAGGGGTCTGTTCGGGAATAGGGGGGTGAGATGATGCTATGTTCGCAGTGGGGGCCAAGTCCTGGATGAGGAACTTACCTTGGCCGAGGATAACGACCTTGACGTTGGAGAGAGGGGTGAAGACAGACCAGCTGTAAATTTGGTTCTCTAGCGAGGGTTCGTGATGGAAAATATTTCAATTTCGTTTCGCTTCCGCCTGTGCGGTCAGGAACGATGAGAAAAAGACATATGGCGTATATACCAGGAGGAAAGACTTGCTTGCCGCCGTCTCTCTCCTTCTGCAAGAATTTTTTGAGCTGCGAAATAAAATGTGGTCAATAAAAGCTCAATAGGCGTATACGCACAATCCATCAATACACTCCCGCCAATTCGAACATCCTAACACTATATTCAATCAACACCAACCTCGATGAAATACCCCTTTCTCAACTCCGGTCCCAACACCTTCAACCACCCAATCTCCATCGTGTCGCTCTCCAGTTTTAACAAGGCCTTTGTCTCGTCATCCAGCCCGCGGAACACAATTTCGAGCGTCGCGTCCCTTTTCAAGACCACGGAGGTCGAGGACTCCGGCTCAGGCACATCGGAGGTCGCGTCCTTAGTAGGCTTAGCCCACCCAAGCAACGACTGCTGCCTCTTGATGGTCGGCGTGGCTTTCGCGGGCGTAGCTTCCAACTTCTTTCTCTTGGCTGGCGGGGGGCCGGCGGCGGGTTCATCTACGGGGGACGCGTCGAGTTGGCGTTTCTTGTTGATGTGAGTGGTCGGCACCGGCGCGTCGGCGATGGCGGCGGGGAGGGTGGGGTTTGGGATGGGCACGGCGGTCATATTGTGTATAATGTTGAAATTTGCCTCGAGAAGATAATGT